GAGCCAAGGTCAGGAGTGCACTTGGGGTATCTGGGGAGACAGGCCTAACTAGTGGGCCCAGCTTTTGTTTTGTGGAAACACTACAAGATCTAGAATAGGTCTCGGCAAAAACTGTTCTCTTATTCCTGTGTGCAAGGCTTAAGAAGGCTCTCTTAGCCAGGGATGATTCTCTTAACCATATTTGAACAAAAGTCCCCATTCCCCAGCCATAAAAAGCAACGGATGGTTTACAATATCTCAGAATCTCTGAGAATGGAGATTAAAAACATGATTATGCAGCTATTTTATATCTCACCTGACTTGCACAATGAGACAAGATTGATGGAGCTGCAAAATCCATCCTTGTAGGAAAAAAATGGGTTTCCTTAAACTGAGACTGACGGAGGAGCTCAAGGGAAGGAATTATGGAGTCAGTGCCCTGAGAATAAGCACCCTCAGGACATTTACAAGGAAGGAAAAGTACCAGATGTTGGGAGAATGGCATGACAGTGGTCATGAACTAGTTTGGCAAGAGAAAGCAAAACATAATTTAAGTGGACACTTCACTGCCTGGAAAAGTGCTGGGGCCGGTCTGGGTTGATGTTTCTATAAATGACATTCAGCCATAGTACAAGTGATGTAGGTTTTTCTGTTTCTAGAAAACACGAAGCTCTCCCAGGTGGCAAAATGCCAAGCTGGTAGTGATAAACAGCAGGAAGCTGGGTGAGTGGGCAGAAAAGAGGCAGATGAGCTTCAGCATGGTTAGAACAAGGTAATCCATTCGGGAAAATAAATGATGGTGAAGATGCCCAGCTGGTGTGGCTGAGGGACTGAGCACCATCCCATGGACTGAGAGGTCCTGGTTGGATTCCCGGTTGGGGCACATCCCTGAGTTGTGGGCTCGATCCCCAGTCGGGGGCATGCAGGAGGCAGCCGATTGATGTAGCTCTCTCACATCAATGTTTCTATCTCTCTCTCCCTAAAAAAAATAAATAAAGACCTATTTAAAAAATAAAATAAAAACAAATGATGGTGAGGAAAGATGACTGTCTCTGAGCTGTCAGTCACAGCCCAGAAAAGAGCTCTGAGCATCAACCAAGAAATATCCTGGTAGAAAGGGGCTGGGGGACGGGCTCAGCTCTTCTCTCCACACTCACAGGACTGGGTGACTTTCCTACCTCTGGTTAAGGTGTGGGCAACTTGTATATGAGGATGGATACCTGTGTCAAAATTATAAGAGCGGAACTTGTCTGCAATAGCCAGTGTGTACTCACACAGTATCACTTCGTTTCTGTCAACAGCTTAAGACGATGGCAAGGCAGTGAGTCAGATAAAAGTGTAAACGTGTTTAGAAGTCGGGAGCGGAGCTAGTACCCATGTAAAAACAATTTGTGGTGCTGGACAAGCACCATCCAGCAGAGCACAGGACCCAGAGTACAAGACAGGTGGCAGGGGAGGGGTAAGACCCTGGGCAGGGTGATCTGTGGTAGCCCCCGTTTCTGGCACTCAGTCATGTATACTTAAGCACTGGAAGAAAAGTTCATGCAAGCCTCCTTGAGATGGAGCAGCCTTAGAAACGACTTTGAATTTGAATTTTCCTGATGTGCACCCATCTTTCTGCTTAGCTGCACGGGCAACTCAGAGACACTGATCGAACCAGTCAAGTCCCTTGGGTCCCATCCTTCACCACTGGTGGGGGCGAGGAGCCAGGGGGAAGACTGACACCTCTCCCCTCCATTCCCACTTTGCTATTCTCTGGGTGAGGGAGGGAGTTGATGTGGGGTCGGGTGTTCTGCAGGACAGGATGTCCACGGCAATGATGAAACACCTGCTAGAGGAGACATCGCCTCTGCTTTCGGTCTTGTTCCTTTGCAGCTGTGGGGACAAAACTACGAAGGAACGACTAAGTAGTGTTTTGAAATGCAAACCTAACACAGTTATGGTTTCCGGAAAAACTAATTGAGTTGTTGCATCTCCAGTGGATCAAACTGGAAAACATTTCCTTTACTGTATAAAACTGTGGTTTGTGGGCCGCTGGAATGTTAAAGAAAAAACACAGCACTGGTGGAGGTACAATGAAATGAAATCATCAAGGGACCTTGGGGTTGGGGACATGCCAAAACCTTGATATTCTCCCCACCCCGGAAATGATCGAAGCTGAGCAGCTCATGAGAAATACCTTTTGTTGGTCTAATCCCTTTCATACTTGAACGAGATGGCATTTTTAAGGCATTAAGTAAAGTATTTTGGGATACTTTAAAAGGCATCACAGTACAATTTAGATGGCCTGGGAAGGTTAGGAAATGGACTTTTCTGACTGAGGATTAATCCAGCACATCCTTGAGACCCATCCCCTACCTTCCAAGAGAGCCACCTGCCTCGAGGACATATTCCCTGTGCTCCCCCTTGCTGCTGAGAAGTCCTGAGGTCCCCAAGCTTCTGCCACTTGCAATAAGAAGTAAGCAGTGCCCGGCTGGTGTGGCTCAGTGGTTGAGCATCGACCTGTGCACTAAGAGGTCGCAGGTTTGATTCCCGGTCAGGGCACATGCCCGGGTTGTGAGCCCGATCCCCAGTGGGGGGCATGCAGGAGGCAGCCAGTCTATGTTCTCTCTCATCAATGTTTCTCTCTCTCTCCTTTCCTCTCTCTAAAAATCAATAAAGAATATATATATATATATATATATATATATATATATATATATATATATATGAAGTAATCAGCTTTGGGTCCCGTGGATGGGGTCACCTGACTTGGAGGGCAGCAGCCTCTACCTGGCACCTCTAGTGGGTGTGCCTATGAAAATATTAGAATCGCTATTCTGTTTCCTTGTTCTCCAATGGGATAAATTAAGCTTTTCTAATATTTAACATACAGGACTCTAGGACCTGGAGTAGACAGTTAGACATGATCAGAGTTGGAACAATAAGCCAGGTATGAAAGGACACCAGGGTGCAAAGCTGGGTGCCCGCAAAGGGCAAAACTGGGAGGGCAAATGTGGTAGGGTGGGACCTGACCCCCAGGGTGACCATTCCTCCTCTGGCATGTCACTTGTCATGTGGTAGACCCTCTTAGAGGAACAAGGGGCCAGAGAACAGCTCCCTTAAACATTAAGTGCTTGGGGCAATGAGGTTCTGACCCACATCAGATAATCTTAGGAACAAAGCCTGAGGGAGGGGGAGGGGGGTCTGTTGACCACAGAGACAGAGTTTTGGTCTAACTCGGGATAACATCTAGGCCTCAGATGTGTTTCAGCTCCAGGCCCAGAAAAGCAGCAAAACCAGATGAAACAGATGCCATGGCCGACAGGAGGACCAGCTGCACTGATTAATCACAGCACCCCCCCAACATTGACCATTCAGTCAATAGAGACCTGACCCTGAAAGGACACACCTGGAAAAGCTGATCAATATTCTATTGCGAACCTCACATGAGACCTCCCCTAAAATCCCCGCCTTTGGAAATAGATAAAACCCCTTAAGACGAAGGACCCAGCGATTGCACGTGCTCTCTCTCTCCAGCAAGCCTGTGCCTTTCCTCCCCCTCTGTCCACTCAAGGTGTGTACCTTTGCTTTCTGTCTCCCAAACTCTCAAACTTCCCTGCAACTCGTTATCTGAATCACTTCTACCCCTGTGATTTCTATTTTTTTTTTTTTATCCTCACCGGAGGACACTTTTCCATTTTTTGTTCAGATAGAGTGGGAGGGAGAGAGAGGAACAGAGAGAGAGGGAGAAACATCGATGTGAAAGGGACACATCGAGTGGCTGCCACCCGCACAACCAACCAGGGCCGGGGACAAACTGCAACCGAGGTACGCGCCCCTAGTGGGAACCGAACCCGGGTCTCTCAGGACCGCAGGCCGACGCTCTAACCGCTCAGCCAAACCGGCCAGGGCTACCCCTGTGACTTCTAAATAAACTTTTGGTTATATTTGAGTTCCTTGGCTCTGAATTCTTTTCTTAGCTGAACTCAAGGACCGAGGTCTAACATCTGGTGCCTTTCAGTTAATAGACACACCGGCGTGTGGTATTCTCAGGGAAGGGGGGAAGTTCCCCCACCTGGGGTGGGGGGGTATGTAGTGTATCCTTCACTTGTTTGTTCCCTTTGAGCGATTTTGATTTATTTCAGCAGATGTGTAAGTGTGCTTGGTTCAACAGGCTCACTGATGACATGTTTACTTTTAGTGAAACTAACCCTCCCTAAATGGACCAGTGATTTCAAAAGATTCCTGCAAACACAACCAAGGACTGAAAACAACATGCCAATGGTGCCTGAACAACTGAACAGCAAGAACGTGGCAGAGCTGACGTTCATCCTCATCGGGAGAGCTTTTCCGCACCCCAGTTATAAGGTAAAAGTAATGACTCATCAGATCTGACAAGACACGGACCACAAAAGTTTCAAAAATCCGAATAAGAGGATTTGAAATATGGATTTCAGGCACTTTTACCTGCCTTGAGATATTCTCAAGGCAGTAGGAAGCCATGGCAATTAGCAAGACAGTTAAAGGCATGTGATTTTGATCCTGGCTTGTCCTGTGGGTGACGGGACGAGGCACAGCAGACGACGAGGGGAAGAGGATGAGTCGAGGATGATGCTGAGTGTTCTCCCAGCTTGGGAGACGGGTGGGGTGGGGGCCACCAACTGCAACATGCGTCTGGGAATATGGGGGGGATGACTTCTCTAGTCCTGAGCAGGCTGAGTTTGGGGGGCCCTGGGGAGCACCTGGGCCACACGAGGCTGTGCAATAGGCATCTCCAACTCAACTTGTCCTACTCTGAGCTTTCCCCTGTCCCATCCAAACCCTGTCCCTTTCCATAAAAGCAAGACATGGTGAGAAGACCCATCTTCCCTAAATAATTAGCCAATTAAGGATAAGGGATTCTTCCTTTAAAATGCAAATATCTACTTTGACGGCAAAAGTGAAGTCTCTAGGCACAGCTTGCTAGGCATCGCTGTAGATCACTATAGTCAGAGCCACACTGTCTTTCCTAGACATTCTCTCTCCCCTGTGTGGTTCACCACCCCTTTCCCTGGCCAAGATAATAAATTATTTAAAAATAAGGGTTTACCCTGGCTGGTGTGGCTCAGTCGGTTGAGCATGATCCCATGCACCGAAAATTCACTGGTTCAATCCCCGGTCGGAGTACATACAGGTTGTGGGTTCAATCCCTGGTCAGAGTGCATATAGGAGGCAACCGATAGATGTTTCTCTATCACATCGATGTTTTTCTTTCTCCCTCTCCATTTCTCTCTTTCTAAAATCAATAAAAACATATTAAAAAAATAAAAATAAGAGTTGGAAGTGAAAGAGTTGGGAGACGGGTGGGGTGGGAACTGAAGGACTGGGGTGGATGGTGGAAGGAGAAAGGACTGAGTTGCCAGAGACAACCAAATGCAGAGGAGAGGTGTCCCATTAGCCAGTCTTCATTCCCGTGGCCAGTCGTCCCTCCTCCAGCTTGGGCTCCGGTGCCCCTGAACTCTTGCCTTTGGCTCAGGCCTGGGAAGAGGCACAGAGTTTTACCTTGGTGGCTGCTCAGTCCTAGGGATTCATTCACCCAGTGGAATGAGCATACAGTGTTTTGAGGGGCTGGGCATGATGACATTTCTTGGCTATAATGCATGTTTGAGGGTGCTGAGCAAGGTCATACAAAAGCAATGGTAGCCAAACAGGACATTTATAGCAAAGCAGATTCAGATTATTGCAATACCTGTCATTAAATAATCACACGTTAAAAGCAGCATTTGACCATCTTCAAGATGAAGGCCACATTTTTTTTCGAGTCTAAAATAAATTCCTGAGCCTTGAAATAACATTGTTTCAAGTGAAGTGAAGAAACATTGGCAGGGTCAGCTCAGCATCTCATCCTGTCTCCGTTTCCCACCCATCCACCCATCCATCAGCACAGGGGAATCTGTAATAATCACATCAGAGAGCATGTTAACTACTGAGCACAGATTATGTGCCCAAGATAGTGCATACCCTGTATTTGATCCTCACAAGAGTTCTGCAAGAGAGAGACTATGAGTCCCATTGTATAGATGAGGAAACTGAGGCACAGCAGATTTAAGTAATTCACTCAGAGCTAAGAGGCTAGTAAGTAGAAGAGCTGTAGTTCAAATCAACTCCAAAGCCTGTAATCTTTGTCTTCATGCATCTGCTTTCAGAAAATTGCTGTTGGCTCCCTAATGACTGTGATTTCTCACTTATTTGAGACATTAAATAGGCCTCAATTAAATCCCCATCTAACAAGGAGATTTCAATTTCATCCTTTTTTTATACAATAGAACAATACCATATATTCATCAAAACTGGAAGATACATGAAGCTTTCATTTCTAAAGGGAATTTTATATAGTTCAACAGAGGTACATATTGATTTTGTTTGTCATATTGATTTTACAGCCAGCTCTGAAAAATGAATGAGTGATCATTTTAGTTATCAGAGCTAACTGTGAAGTCACTGAGGGGTGAATCATCTCCAACTCAACAGGTTAATTTTGGGGATCTGAGATATTTTTGTCTCACTGCACTAGAAGAGCAACCATCACTAAAAACAACATCTACTTACGTGACTTCTTTAAACAACGTATTCATCCCCTCACCCACTCTCTTTTGTAGCTAACAAATAACTAGTGTCTCTCGGAATGGAGTCACATTCTGGCATGAAAGTAACCGAGTCCACCTTTGTGAGCTTTATGCACCGTAACTTATCATATCCTTGCAGCAGCTCTATGAATAGGCACTAATACCATCACTACCACCACCACAACCACCACAACCACCACCACCATCAGCACCACCACCACCACCACCACCGTCAGCACCACCACCACCATCAGCACCACCATCACCACCGCTAGCACTGCCATCACCATCACCACCACCACCACCACCACCACCATCGCCACCACCATCACTACCACCGCCAGCACTGCCATCACCATCACCACCACCACCACCACCATCGCCACCACCATCACTACCACCACCATCGCCACCACCATCACTACCACCGCCAGCACTGCCATCACCACCATCACCACCACCACCATCACCATCGCTACCACCACCACCATCTCCATCATTAGCAGCAGAAGCAGTGAAGTCCAAGGACAGCACAGGTAAGAGGGATTGCATAGCGTGTTAAAGCCACCCTTTCAGAGTGGCAGAGCTGGGTCAGCCCAGGCAGGCTTCAACCCACCACACACTACATGGCTCTTCACGAGGCTGGTAAACATAATTAGTTTACATGTTTTTGAATTATTGTCCACTTTAAGATAGAGATTGAGCAGGTGTTTTTCCTCAGAAAAATTAAATTAAAAAAACCCCCCACAATGTATTTCAAATATACAGACAAAACAGAATATAACCAACTACTTGGGTGGCCATCACCCAGTTGGAACAAATCTGACAGTGCGGTAAAGCCCTCTGTTCCCAGCTCCCTCTCTTTCCCCCTTCTGTTGCTCCAGATGGAACCGTACTTCAGAAACTGACATGTCTTTATTTCATCTATGTTTTTATACTTTTTCGTTGTTGTTAATCCTCACCTGAGAGTATTTTTTTCATTGAGTTTTTTAGATAGAGTGGAAGGGAGGGAGAGGGAGAGAGAAACATCGATGTGAGAGAGACACTGATTGGTTGCCTCCCACACGACCCTGACTGGGGCCAGGATCGAACCTGCAACCCAGTTATGTGCCCTTGACGGGGATCCTTTAGCCTGCAGGCCGACACTCTAACCACTGAGCAAAACTGTGTATTTTTACTTTTGTCCATGAGTATCCATGCATCGACAATGTATTGCTCAGAGTGTTTTTAAACTTCAGCTAAAGGTGTCATACTACATTTCTTCTGCAACTCTTCAACATCATGCTTTTAAGATTTATCTAATTTAGTCATTTAATTGCTTATATGAATATGCCACAAACCCATGTTTCCTGTTGATGGATACTTAAGCTCTTTCCGCTTTCTGCAAGCAAAAAAGTCCACAGACGTGTCTCTCTGTGCACACACAACAGTGTACTTAGACCATGACTGCCAGGCCCTGTACCAGAGGCTGCCAACTGCTTTCCAGCGAGATTGCACTAATTTTCACTCCCAGCAGCAGTGTGTGACTTCCTGTGGTTCCACTTCCTCACAACACTTCAGATAGTCCCACCTTTACAATTTTTTGCCAATCTGGTAAGTACAAAATGGTATCTTGTTTTAATATAAATTTCTTTGTTAGTAAGATTCAATATATTTTCTGTGTATATTGACCGTTCAGGTCTTTTATCTGTGAATTGCTCATTCCTATAATTTACTCATTTTTTTCTCCCATTTTGATTGTATGTTCTTTTCTGGCTAATTTGTAGGAGCTTTTACTATATTATGGACTCTAATTCCCTGCCGATCACACGCTCTCCTCCCAGGCGATAGCATTATCTTTTAATGTAGTGTCTTTAGTCACACAGAAATTAAAAGTTTAAACATAGTCACATTTATCAATCTTTTCCTTTTATGGCTAGTGGGTTTTTTAATTTTTTTTAGTTTTTAATCCTCATCCAAGGATATTTTTCCATTTTTTTGTACAGATAGAGTGGGAGGGAGAGAGAGGAAGGGAGAGAGAGAGAGAAACATCGACGTGAAGGGACACATCGAGTGGCTGCCACCCGCACGACCCAACCAGGGCCGGGGACAAACTGCAACCGAAGTACGCGCCCTTAGCGGGAACCGAACCTGGGTCTCTCCAGACCGCAGGCCGACGCTCTAACCGCTGAGCCAAACTGGCCAGGGCGGCTAGTGGTTTTTGTATCATGTTTTTAAAAATCCTTTCCTGCCATGAGGTAATAAGTGAGTCTTACATATTATCCTAACATTTTAAGTTTTGCTTTTCACATTTGGGTCTTTAATCCACGTGTAATTTATTTGTGCACATTGTACGAGGTACCATTTTTCTCCTCACAATTCATTTTATTTGATAGTTCATCCTTCTGGTGATTTTTTAGGGCACCTTATTCTTATCAAGTTAAATATCACACGAGTCTGAATTGTTTGCTCTGTCCCACTGAGCGATGTGTCCTTCTGTACCGACACCACACTGTCTTAATTACTATAAAATGTGCTCTAACTCATAATAAATCTTTTTTTTTTTTATCCTCACCCGAGGACATTTTTCCATTTTTTGTACAGACAGAGTGGGAGGGAGAGAGAGGAAGAGAGAGAGAGGGAAACATCGATGTGAAAGGGACACATCGAGTGGCTGCCACCCGCATGACCAACCAGGACCGGGGACAAACTGCAACCGAGGTAACATGCCCTTAGCAGGAACCGAACCCGGTCTCTCCAGACCGCAGGTGGATGCTCTAACCGCTGAGCCAAACTGGCCAGGGCTCATAATAAATCTTGATAGGACATAGGGAAGTTCTTCCCATTCTATTCTTCTTTGACATTATCTTGACTATTCTTGCCTTTACACTTCCATATGAATTTTAGGATCATTTGACTAAATGCTTGTATTAATCTGAGGTACACTGGCATCTTTATATTAAGCTTCCCATCCAATATGATGTATCTTTAGTCAGATTTTCTTCTGTGTCCTTCAATAATGTTTTAGAGTGATTTCCAAAAAGCTATTGCATATCTTTCATTAGATTCACTTCTAGACACCATATAGTTTTGGTTGCTACTATAAGTGTATTTTTTTTCTTAGGTACGTGCCCCTAGTGGGAACCGAACCCGTGACTCTCTGGTCCGCAGGCCAATGCTCCAACCACTGAGCCAAACCAGCCAGGCACATCTCTTGGTTTTGTTATGGAAACAACTACTATACAAAATGATTGTTTTCTTCTACCCTCTATTGAACTGGTGGGAGCCTCCAGTACAATGCTGGATAAGTAAGGGTGTTATTTGGCATCACTGTCTTGTTTCTGGACTTTAACAGAATTGTCTTTAAAAATCTTCCCACCACATATGATGTCTGCTGTGTGTGGACTTTTTTTTTTAATCCTCACCCGAGGACACTTTTGCATTCATCTTCAGATAGAGTGAGAGG